GACACGACAAGAATTCATTAATAGAAATACTCGCCACTGTTGTCATGACCAAGAGTGGAAACAGACTTTCTTTACAGGTGTTGCTCCAAGAGGCGTAAGACTAAGCCTGCATATGCCAGTGCGGAGAACAAGAGATCAATGAAATGCGCATTCATAATACTGCAGACGCAAATGAGAACCAAACAAATCAGAGTGTATCCAGCTCCCTGTCCCTTGTTAGCAAGTATGTAGCCAGTTGTATCATATGATGAGGTCAATCAGACTGCTGTGGGGAGTTCGGGTCGCGCGGACCCACCCGGCCGGCGCTGAATGAAGGGTACGGACCAAGCGAGCTGCCAGTGAGAGCTGGTGCAGCTGTCCTGTGGGTCAGACACCGGTACTGGCCACTAAAGCTCACGGCCATTTCAATAACGTCAGCCCCACGGTAATTGGCCGTCAATCAATTTGTGGTCGATTGTCACGCAAAGTGGCTCCCTGAATAGCTGGCCGGTGTGAGTGCACGCAGATTAAGTAGACACCGGCCATCCGGTGGCACCAATTACCTCTTTGACGGATTTCCGTGAGTGTGTGAAGTCACAACCTAGCTCGAAGGGTTTCAGCACTGAGAACGGTCGGCTGAGACGGGAGCCACGCGTCGTAGGGAAGAGATAGGGGTCAGAGGACGCGGCGACTCACGGTGGGGAGGAGACAGACTGCACGGCGGCACAGAACAATGGAACTCTGCAGTGTGATACAAGACGGGCCGAAGGACGAACGCGAGCGAGGAATGTCGAACACGACCTAAAACAGGAGCGGTTTCGGTGCCGCAAACGGAACCGAACACGACATTTGAGAGAGGGATAGGACATCGAACAAGTCACTGAACATCTTCTTCAAGAGCCAGCTCAGGCATATCGGAACATTCAATCTGTTCCCGAACCAGTGCTTCTGAAAAATTTCACTGGTTAGTTTCCAATAACGTGGCGTAACCTACAACACACCGATAGAAGGACCGATGCAGCAGAGACTGACGTGGAATTTCTGAGAGAGAGACACTACTGCCGGTAAGATAAAAAGCCCACCGTCCGCCGTTCGGACACATTGCAGACGACTCGTGCGACCCAGAGTGCAGCGATGTCCGGGACGGGCCATCAGATGTGACGGCACGCGTCCGTCCGTTACAGCGGCGGCTCGTGTGCAGAGGGAATCAGGCCGACCTTGCGGCGAATGTGACGCCTTCTGCAGCGGCGCTGTCAAAGATGCACAGATACAAACGGGCGGTGAGAGGGTACAGAGGGGCGGCGAGGGAGAAAGGGTGCGTGTATCTGATGAGTACCAAGACGGAAGGGCGCGTGGTGACACCTGATGGCTGCGTGTGTCACAGAGAACACCCAGCGAAAGTGCCCCAATCAGAGGGTTTCCGTTAACCTCTGGGTCATCAGCAGAAAGGCGACACGCGCTCGAGTCGCACCCATTGGCCCTGAACGGACGAGAACATGCAAATTCACTCTGCAATGCCCGCCTTTCTCTCCGTGGCTAATTATGCATCCTAGAACACGGCTTAGAAACATAGGGGCGACTCAAGACTCTGACTTCGACAGGTAACTATTCCACAACTGCTTCATTTTCCACGAGGCTTAGTGAAATTCAGTCGATTTTCAGTGGGAGTTCAATTCAGTAAGATCTTCCAATAAAGCGTGAGACAGGTCTCCCCGATGGCACGCAGGTCAGGTCAGCTGTGAGCACAAACGTTCCCGGTTCATCCCTGGGGAATAGACCGCAATAACCGCAGCAGGAACGGCCGTCTGCCCCAATACCCAGCACACAATCTGATCAGGGCATATAGCTGGGAAAGCACCGCGAGACTGCAGCTGGCATTCCCCTGGGTTACAGGTAGGGTTACAGGTAGCCGACAGTGGACAGAAGGTGGGGATAGCGGGGTAGGGTTAGGGTTAGGGTTAGGGCTGACGGGGCAGGCTTGGGGAATGGAATAGGCAAAGGTCGGAACTGACTTCGAAATCAAAGTCGTCAAAGTCAATGGCTCTGACAAATGTAGTCGGTAATTGACAAGCGATTAACCTGACATAACAGCCGCATAGAACGTTCCTCTTTCGGACATATTGGGGCCTTTCGAAAAAGCCCGACTGTGTCTAAGTGGGCATAGAAATAATGAACGACGCAGTCTCAGCCGTTTGCGACCCATACCTTCGGTATGCCGCTCATATTCCATCTTCCCTGCGGAAAATAAATAAATATACGTATGGATTAAGCTATTTGCCGTGCGTTGTCGTGAGCACGAAAACGTTCTAGCTATAGATATGCCGGCTGATGCATTCCAGATAATGAAGATGTTCAGGTAATTCAGGCAATTACGTAATTGGAGTACACCATTGTCTCCAGGGGAGCGGAACGGCCAAGAATATCCAGTTACCGTAACTTCTGCACAATGAAAATGACTAAAAGATGGCACTAATTTCGGATAGAACAGTCCCCGGTATCGCTAATGCCGGCAGTTCGTTTGGGTGTGGTTCGATTGGCACCCTTGGTGATCTGTTTTTGGACGTTGTGCCGCGCCTAGCTTATCGAGCGCAGTGGTGGGCCAGACCAGGGACCCATCCTCTACCACCGGAGCCGTCTGCACCGGGAGGAGAGCTCTCGGCAGCGAGAGATCCTTTCGAGCTGTCGGAAGTCAGCTTCAAAGCCCGATGAGAAAACGCTTTTAGCAAACTATTTTTTTTAAGCCGTCCGATCCCAAAATAAGCTTGATATATTTACTATCAACACTTGTTTTAAATAGTGAATTCAATACTTGGTTAAAATATGAATTGTGTTAAACTAAAATTATTTTAATAAATACAAAGAATAGTAGCGATATTGAATAAAATCGTGTCTGTTATTTTATAATGCATTTTAAAGGACAAGAGCGTAGGGCACTTCAAATAATTTAAACGGAATGCTCTTTGAACGCCAGACAAACATCAAGCATGAAAAGAAACAATCATGCGCCGGTATTCCCCAGTTATAGCAGTGAGCAGGAGTCGTTCAATTCACGGTAGGTAATATGAAGGTCCTGAAGCACCTCTGAGCACTGCCACTGCGCCGTGTCCATCAAGGAAATCTGGACAGAGCAAACAGCCTGCTGGGCAGCTCACGTGCTTGGGGAGGGGGTGTCACACGCCGAAGCACCTGATTGCCGCCGGCTAGGAGTCTGTTTGGATAGCAAACTGCAGGACTTGGGACACACCTTATGACGGCCGTGTGGTGATGGTTTGGAGAACAATGCCGGGATGATTCGAGAGAGAGAGAGAGAGAGAGAGAGAGAGAGAGAGAGAGAGAGAGAGAGAGAGAGAGAGAGAGAGAGAGAGAGAGAGAGAGAGAGAGAGAGAGAGAGAGAGAGAGAGAGAAAGAGAGAGAGAGGGGAGAGAGAGCGAGAGAGAGAGAGAGAGAGAGAGAGAGAGAGAGAGAGAGAGAGAGAGAGAGAGAGAGAGAGAGAGAGACAGACAGAGAGAGAGGGGGGAGAATGAGGCGAGGGAAAGAGGACGAGCTTGTAGTCTCGAATAATCCACTCAGCTCTCTAAACGTCAGTCATTCTCTGCGACATTCCTTATGTATGTATGCCGGACCCAATATTTCCACAGAGGCCGGATGCGGCGACCACTCCATCACTTGCCGCTTTATCGTCGTCTGAATAGCAGCAGCACTGGGTGCGGCGCCCACATCCCGGCGCGGTCAGCTCGGAACGACACCGTCGGCACCCGGCGGCGTCAATAAATCGTTCATCAGCCGCGCCCAGGACTCCGTGAACTCCCCAAATACCCCTCTCCTCCCGGTCCAGCCAGTGTTGGTGATTTTGGAGAGGTGATTTGACGGGACGGGCGCTCATGAGCCTCTGGGTGAGTCGGTGTGAGCTGGGGCTGATCGCGGGCACACCACACAGCTCGGAGGGACACTCCAGGCGCTGACGGCACCGGCGAGGGCTATTTCGACGGGCCGGTAAATGAAGACGGTCAGACGGAGCGCCGCCGGCCAGAGCTGTCCCGACGCCAGCCGCGCCACTAATTGCCACCGCGAGACAAATGAACCGACGCGGCCGCGGCTAACGCATAATACTGAACAGACAGGAAACTCGCGATACAATCATTGAATATCGCATTGTTGAATATACAAATGCCTTTGTATGCGGCATCGTTTTCAGCATAGGTACCTCTTTAAGTGCACAATATACAAAGGAAACAGTGAAGCGTACGACAACAATCCGTAGCTAAACTTCTCGCTTCAAGTACGTGATAAAGAGATGGGTGTCCTTGAAATCATCGACATCAAAAGTGACTTGCACCGGGATCCCTGCTTGACCTTTGACCTATCATGACACGACAGACAAAGATCCACTCACGTGCTGCGGGCTCGAGTGCTTTGTTAGTTCGTGTCGTGTACTCATCCGCACTCCCAGTATACCTACATAGACAGTGAGAGCCCGGGACACCCACTCATCTGTCTGAAAGGGTGCGAGGCGTTCCCGACTCGGAAACGCCCACTTAGCCGTGGAAGACTTAATGCCCTGTCGACTCTCAACCTCAACCCTGTCTCCTTTGTCACTTGGAGACTGTGTCTACCACAGTCGGCAAGTGGCAGTTGAATCTGCATCTGCTAGACGGCCGGCTCAGCTGGATTGACACCCACAATCACCCAGGATCATCGACCAACACGATTATCAAAGTGTTCAAAATCTTAAGATGTTCCGCTTTTCAAAAATAGCAACCACTCATTAATTTCCCGAGAGAATGCTGTTGAGTTTCACCCTAATTATCTGAGTCCTCCCAACTCCCCCTTTTCATTCAAATAATCGCATGTTTGCCATTGCAATATTGTCCGCCCACTAGTATCAGCCCAGATAGTCGACAAACTTCAAACAACGCCCTTCCATTTGACGATATTACTCACCTAGATCCCGCCAGATCCGGTCGAATCCAACTGCGCACACACTGACCTGACCGGATCCGGTCTGATCCAGTGACACCCACCTTGACCTGAGCGGCTACGGCTCCGGCTCCGGCTCCGGATCCGGCTCCAGCTGTGGCTCCGGATCCGGCGGTGGCGGCGAGGCTCGGCGGGGAGCGGCGTCGCGTCGGCTCCGCCGGTACAAACGTGCTCAGCGTCGGTCCCGACTCGACACGGGCCATGATACGCGCGGGCACGGCCGGCTGGTGACCCAGCAGCGACTCGCTCTCGGGCGTGTCAGCCTCGGCGCGCCGGCCGCGGCCACGGGTCAGCTTGTTCAGAAAGGAATCTTCGGGCGCCGAGCCGCGTCGGTACCCGTCGGGGCCGCGCGGTGGGAGAGCCATGTCGTCGGTGTCGGCGTCGGCGGCGGTCGTCGGTGAGCAGAGGGACGGTGTCGGCGCGTGCGTCGGTGAGCGGTCGGTGCAGCTCGGGTGCAGCGGGTCGGGGCGCAGAGCCGACTGCAGAGGCGCCCGGCGCGCCGCCAGCTGCTTCTCTCCGCCGCAGCGCCGCCGGCCTCTCGGCACTGTCACGTGTCACCGCCCCGGGCGGCACGGGCGGGCTGCACCCTTACACGGGCCCTGGGCGCCACGGGAGAGCTGCACCCTCTTCAGAGAGTACAGGAGGGCTGCACCTCGGCGGACGAGGTGCAGCCCTCGAGGTACGAGGTACGACGAGGTACGAGCGGGCTGAACACCTCTCAAGAGGGGAGGCACGGACTGGCTTCACCCCTTTCAAGAGGGGAGGCACGAGCGTCTGCAACCCTCTCCAAGAGGGGACGCACGAGTAGGCTGCACCCTCATCCGGGTCTGGACGCACGGGCACGCGACTCTCATCTGATGACAGACTCAGTCGCCGTCCTCCCACGTCTCTCGAAAGATGAGCGGACAAATGCAGTAGAGCGGAGTCGCTGAGCCGTATTATGCACCCTATATACCCTGAGCAGCAGAGAAAACAGACGCTCTACGGGTCGTTGAGCTGGAGGTTCGATTTTCGGTCAGACCGAGCCGGTGATGGTCGTTAGATCAGCAGTGACTTACACCTGTCATCCAATGCGGCACATTTCGAAAGAAAAAGTCCTCGGATATAAAAGAAAAATGTTTTAATCTTCAAATGAAAATAACGTTTAAACTGGCATTTAATTTCCTAGCATATTTTTCTATCTTCACAAACGAACAGACTAGCTTCGGATTCCGAGCGACGCTTATCAGGAGGGTAACAAAACGAATCGAAAGTGAGGCATCCCCTGATGAAGCCACTTAGCCTGTTGCACGTTCGCCGTGTGTGGCAGTACTGTGAACGCGCTGGGGTCGATACGACACGATACCTATCAGCTGGAGCTCAAGTGCCGCACACTCTTGAGAGCGCGCAGTGTCCGATACGGGTATCGGACTGGACACTCATAGGCCTACCAAAGTGTGTACGTGGTACAGGTACCGGGGGTACTGCTCCTGCTCGGCTCACAGTGGCCAGTACCGGAGTACCGTCCCGCTAAATCAGTACCTGTGTATATGAGTACTGTTCAGCACAAGGGGACCGTTTCTGTTACATGCACCGCTCAGTTTACCAAGCCTGCAGTACCGGCTGGTACAAATGCAATCAGTATACCGTGGCCTGACTTCAGATAAATTATCCCACCACGCCGTGGCCCGGTGAGACATGTGCTAAATCGCTTGTGATCGGCCCGTAATGCACTGGTAGAAACGCGGGTCATTTGCTCGGAGCTGCGCCGATGCAGCGCCAAGCATTACCGGATCCAAATTGGCGTGAAGGAAATAAACCTTTCCCAGTAGCTCAGTGGGAAGTGTCCGTCCGTTTACCCGGCCGGAGGTAAGAGCCTGCAGTTCAATTCGTTTCAGAGCTCGTCATTTGCTTCTGACGCAAAGCCCTATGGCCAGTGGCAAGGTCACATTGAGCGTCAGAAGAGATCGCTTTAGCGGAGCACCTGGATAGGCCGAAAATGTCGAGTTAAAATTCAGAGTCGTGAAAACGTGATGAATGAGTTCTGAGTTGATTGGCAGCGGACTTGACCAGAAAACAATAAAAAGTTAACACCTTCTTTAATTTGTACCTACATTGCATGGGTATTATTGTCTCGATGGTAAAAAAATACATGAGTATGACTCACTAATTAAAAATATTTAATTTTATTCGCTATTTCGTTGGGTTGTCAATGCCGTCTCGGGTGACTGTCAAATGCACTCTACGGCATTACTTATCTGTCAGTAGCATACACGATGCTCAAGTGCAACAAAGCTCACATAGTTGGTAACTCAATGACCTTTGTCACTGTTATGCAAGACATTTTTGCATTACATAAAATAAAACGTTTTAGTTGCTTTACTACGTCAAAACCTCCGAAAGTTCAATCAGTAAATGGTTCATGCCTGGTATCTCAAATTGCGAACCGATGCCCTAGCTTAGCAGATGAGGGAAGAAGTTCTCACGCAGTTCGGGTTGAAAAGAGCTCGCGCAGCTGGGGTGAGAAATGCTCGCGCACCTGGGGTGAGCAATGCTGGCCATCTGGGGCGAAAAATACTCGCACGGCTGACATGAAAAGTGCTCGTTTGGTTGGGGTAAGAAGAGCTAGCGCGACTGAGGTTGAAAAAAGGCTCTCATAACTGATGGGAGAAGTGTTCGCGCGGACAGTGCAGCCGAGTACGATTTCGCTCGTATCCACTGTGAAACCGGCTCCGTCCAGTCGCCCGGAGGAGCACGCTCAAGGCGAGGCCGGCCGGCGCCAATATTGATTAGACGACCCTGCAGGGGCGCATGTCGGCACATTAGCAATGGTGATCAGCGAGCAGGGGTCGTCTTTTTCACTTTGTGACCCGGGGCTAGGTCCCATTCCAGGAATCTAGTTACGATGGCATCTCAAACATGAGACTCGCTGAATAAAATGAATATAATTTCACAGTGACATAGTTGCAATCACACATCAACGTGTGAGCAGTGAGCACCATGCAGGACATTTTGCATTGCATTGATCAATAAGCAGACCTACACTGAAAAAATTTTTTACTCAGGCCAGGCATTACTCAGTAATAACTCATGAAGAAACTCAGTGAATACGATAGTGGTGCTCACTTATTGGCTGATCTAACTCACATCACCAGGGTGACTTCGTTATGCGTGAGTTCTGAGTGCTTAGTTTCGTGAATTCGAACTGAGTCGGAAATGAGTTTTGCTTGGGCAAATCTAGTTTCCTGCGCAATGCATGAGTTCTCGCGAATTCACGTGCAGTTGTGCGTGAGGTACCCCCGGCTTGAAGATGCGCGCATGCGCGGCAGGGTGAGTTTCCTGCGTGATGCGTGAGTTCGCGTGATGAGTATTATAGCCGTTGCGTTCGAAAACCGCGGCGCGCGCTTCAGTCCGTTGTGGCGCGGTGACTCGCGTAGTTCACGTTGAATTGTTGAGGCTATTGTGAAATTGTGCGGGAGAGTGCAGGAGCGGGGAAGGCGTGCAGCGAAGGATGGGACGGGTAAGTTATCTGTGAAGAGCTCGGTGATTGTCGATGAAGCTTTTATCAATCGCATGCGCCGCGGAGAACAGGGAGGTGAACTGATGGACCAGCAGACATTCCCCGCCGGCGTCAGGAGGTCGGTGCCAACCGTGAACGGCGGAGCAGATCGATCGAGAAACTGAGGGATACCTACCCGGCATAGTTCGAAAAAGAAGAGGTGAGTTATGTTATATTTAAATTTAACCCTTGCATGTGTGCGGCGTTTTCCAGCTTCTAATGTGTAGGGGGGGGGGGGTCGGTTGGACCCCCCCTTGCCGTTTGGCCCCTGATCGAGCTAGAGCTTCGCGGAAAAAACGAGCGTGTTGCCCGTGACGAGAGGAAGCCGATGATACCCAATTTTCAGGTCCTAGGTCATTGGTTGACCTTCCAGGTCAGGTCAATGACCCAAAGTCGGGAAAATCGGGACCTATTAGAAAGTCGTAAAGTGTGGCTGCTAAGGGGTTTTTCGGGGTACTGATCACGAATATCGTGTTAGTTTTGATCACAGATGATGTCTTTAAGCATTTAGACCAGGTCGGGTCAGGTCAGGTCAGGTCAATCAGTAGGCGTCGTGACGGGTATTCGTAGTACGTGTCAACCGCCTCTGACAGCTTCGTAACATGTTACGAAGGCAACAAAACTACTTCGTAAATGTTCAAATGGTTGTTAAATTCGAATTCAGCTCCAAAAACTAGCCTAGAAACATGTAAAACTCGAAAAAGTGAACCGAGGTCACCCGAGGTCACCAAAGGTCAATGACCTGACCTGACCTTCAGGTGACCTTGACACCCACCCTAATGCATGGGAGCAACATCAAATCACATGTTTGAACGTTTGAAACCACGAAAAGCTTGCAAACGCGCGGCTAATGCGAGCCGACATACTCCGAATCGCGATTCCGGCCAAACATGGTCTCGGAAAAGAGGTCACAGGTCAAAGGTCATTTGGGTCAGGGTCATGAAAGTTTCAGGGTAGGTGTAAAATTGATCAATGCGATGGTACTGAAAGTTTCGTCGCGATCAGCCGCTTTTTACGCGAGTTATTCGCGAAAAACCATGGGGAAAGGGGGTCCATCCGACCCCCCCCCCTACACATGCGAGGGTTAAAAAAAAACATGTTTGTGGGATAATGTTGTCCTTATCCTAAAAGAACGTTCATTTGACCCTTTTTACTTCTTTAAACAAGAACTCCGTCACGACCCGATTTTTTTTTTTTTTGGGGGGGGCGAAGGTTGTTTGAAGTCGATCCTTTCCATGCAGCATCCATAGGCACAATGTTAAAAATGTAAAATATTGGGGGACACGTCCCCCGTACCCTTCCCCCCCCCCCCGGTGGTGGAGCCCATGGTCTTAATTCCGCTCGCTGAACCGTTTAAGATTATTTTGTCTCGTTTGTGCTTATTATTTTTCCACTGTTATTATTTTTTCCGACTGTTTTTTTTAATGCCTACACACATATTTTCGTACACTATTCGATTTCAGCGAGCATTTTCAACCTTCCTTACATATTAGATTATTAGATACCGCGGCGAGACGCGTTTGGACGTGACATACTTATTTCCATTACTGTTAAGTATAACACATTTTATGTGATTGTTTCAAGCTGATTTTAATATTGGACGCCCATGGAAGTGTTTTGCGAGACTAAAACCCGACTGTTAACCCGCGACCGCCTGGGGGGGGGGGTCGGATCCGACCCCCCCTCCGTTTTTCTTGAATAACTCATGAACCGCTTGAGCTATCAACTTGAAACTTTTTTTTTCACAATCAATTTATTGCATATTCAAAACACAGTATCCAGACATAAGACCAATCATCACATCATTACATCAACCTCACCACACCCCCACGCACCCCACAACTATCACACCACACGGGCACACCCCGCAGCCTCAACACCCCACTAAGGGCACCGTGCCGGTTCTGCTCGCCTGGCTAAGCCGGGGCGGCACATGCCTGTTATCGCCCCGGCCCCGGGGAGGCCGTAAGCCTCCCCGGTGCTCCAAACGGGCCGCTGGCCCCCGCCCGCGCCGCCTCGCGCCCTATGCTGCCATCTCGCGAGGCGACGCCCCTGCCCGCCGACCCGCCACGCGACCCGCCCACCAGTCGAGCCGGTTTGGCGGGGCGCGCGGCGGGCCGGCGGCCCAGCCTCCCGTCATATGATGGGAGGCTAGGCACGGGTTGGCCCGGATGGGTTAGGGGCGGGGGCTTTCGCCGCACATGGCGACACA